TATAATAAAAACATGTGACTAATAAAAAAATTACTTGAGCGTGTCACATTGGGATGCGCAGTCAACATAGTTTAACAAAACTATATATGGTCCTATAGTAAAACTTACTATTAGAGATTTTTTGACGATCATTTTAACTTCGGGCTTTGCGAGCCAATTTTTTATAAAATTCTAATAAAATAACCGAAATCTTTAAAATTTAATAACTTGTACTCTAATAACATTTAAGTAACGCAGTAAAGTTGAATGGGTACATGATAACATTAAGAAACATAAAATACAACGTTTTATTAAACTCACGTAAAAAAAGTTTTATTTTATTTAGATGATTTAATTTATTGATTTCGGAGTATTAATGAATTTTTTTTTAAAAAAGCGTTCTATTTTGTGAAAGAGACGGATATTTGGAATATTTTCGATAAAATCTGAAATGAAAATTATGAGAAGGATCCAGTGTTATTAAAGAAAGAAAAATATAGCTTCGTTAATAGTAAATTTATTATAAAATAATTTTAAATTATACTATAAAATATCTTAATATAAAAAATCTTCAATAGTAATTTTTGTTATAGGACCATACATAGTTTTGATTTAATTAGTTAACAGCGCACCCCAGTGCCACATGTTGCTTATTACAGAAGTATACGGTAATTAGATAAATTAATTAAATTAATTAAAGAATTCCTTTTCCAATTACCATATTCTTCCTTTTATCATATTTTGAAACAGTATTGAAAACGGTCTTTAGAAAGTTAAAAGCATGGATAAATGGATAATCATAGAACATTACCAAATAAATATAGTTTAAACAGATTTCATTTCTTTTTTTTGCTATTCGGAATTTTAATACATAAAAATTATACTTATTTTATTTCTTAATAATTTGAAATACTTCATAATCCTTTATAGAAAATTTATCTTCAGTATCCCTTATCTTTTTTCATAATAAATCTTTCTGCAAAAAATTGTATTGTAATCCATTGATTCATTTGGTGCTGAATACATTAAAAGATCTGTATCTCCAAAACGTGGTCCGCTGAGATGATGATAAAATAATACATTACCTCTATTCTTTACGTTACTCAAAATCGCATATTTTTAAAAGAAAATATAAAACTATCCTTAGTTTGTCCATAAGTACCCCAGAACTATGGTCAGTTTTCCATGTTATAGGATTATATCCTCCCAATATCTCTTCTTTTTCTTCTACACTAAAAAATTTAACAGTATTAGATTTATTATCGCATAATTCATGAAATTTTTTAGAAGTAAATCAATCACAACTTCCTCTCAACAATAATTTAAATGTATATGGAAAATATAATTCTCTCAAATTTAAAAATTTACTATTGATAATTATGTCGACTTTATCAATCCATCGTGAAATCATTGAAACAATATTTAAATTAACAATCTTTGTATCAATGATTGTGTCAATTTTAATATTTCTGGGAAATAAAATGTTATCAGTTTGTTCACAATCAGGATCCAAGTAAGAATTTAACAAATGCTCATAAAGTAGAGGATTTAATAGTTTTTTTATGGACGAACTTTTTGAGAGAATTCTTTAGATGATAAACTAAAGAATCTAATTAAAGGTAAACATCGTTGTAAAGTATTTTCCATCGCTTTAAAATCATCAATTTTCCAGGTATCAGGATCTGAAACAAGGGATGGATTTTGTGCAAGACCTCATCTCAATACATGTTCCCAAACTTTCACTTCTTCCATTTATAAATCATCTCTTTTAATGAGTAATGTTAAAGACTCCTCAGGAAGTGAAGTGAAATCAAGTGTTTCAAATATTTTTTCAGGCGTTTTAGCCATGAAATCCGTAAAAAATTGTTGAGTTCTAATAAATTACTCGATTGGAAACTTGCTTTATGAGTAAATTCAAAATGTTGCTCCATCCATTCAGTTTCATTTTCAATCAAATACGTTTGTAAATAATTAACTAGTTCTTGAAGGAAAAGCTTATCAGCTGCTATCAAAACTTTAATAATGTCTGAAACGTCTTGCCCATTAAATGAAAGAATTCCACCATAAATATATCTATATTATGAACAAAGTAATTTTAATTTGACGATTTATAGATTGATTTGATTAGAAATTTATAACATCACACTTACTTTAAAATAATTTGAAAGATATCCGACGAAATATTTGGTAACTTCAAATGAGTGAATATATTGTTATTTTTTTTATTTGAATCCAAAGTTCGTCGTAAATCTGGAGAACGGCAACATAAAATATTCGTGTGCGCGCGGAATATTTTTACATTAGGGTCTTCACCAACCTCCACAGTAATATCATAATATTCATCATTACTCAATAATTCTATGTAATTTTGACTTAACTTTGAATAAAATTGTGTTGACATTTTATAAATTTTTTTTTTTAAGAGAAAAAAGAAACTGTTGAAAATATTACAAGTCGATCAAAGTAACCAATTTAGGCACATCCTTAATCAAATCTAATGAGTTTTACTTAATGCATTTAATCATTCCTAATTCAGTATAATTATATTTGGTATTATAGATATTTTCCTTAATTTTATTATTTGCAGCGATATTTCAATACCGCCGCTTACTTTTATTTTTTTTTTTTTTTTTTTTTTTAAATAGTGTAATTTCTCGAGAAATCAGGCTAGGTCTGCGATACTGGCGTATTTTTACTGATATAGTTAGATAAGATCAATGAATGATTTGAAATGGTGGGAAAGCTGGCAGTAGCAATAATAATAACAGTAGTAGCGATAGAGAAAGTGTTACGAACTAATATGACACAGGATTCACATTAAATGGCCTAGGATCGCCTTGAACATATATTACATATATTGTCCACCAATGTATATAAAAAATTAATAAAGTTTACTCACATCGGGCTTTCTTCTTTCAACTTATGTATTTGACATACGAATGGTGTATAATTGCATTGAAAATATAATATGTTGATTTTCGCATATATAATGTTTAAATGTAAATTTTTTACAAAGTGACCAGCGTGACTGAATTAGTATGCTAAAAATAAGAGAATATATTGACCAATCTCAAGTCTCTTATTATTCTTCTAACTTGAAAATATCAGAAGCTGGTATAAATTCCAAAGGATTCGAGCTATTTCATGAAAGCAAATCTTCAATAGATATGGACATTTGCAATAGAAAAGGGCTATAAAAAAATATAAATTTTACTTTTATATACCAAATATGATTTTAGGCAAAATATATTTGCCGGCAGATTCCACCTTTCTATTGCAAGGTTCTATATTATCATAGGTGTGAATGTTCAAGCAATAAATTCAAGTTCGCGATCATAAATAAATCGAATGGTTCCTGCTTTAAATTTGATCCATAAATCAGTCTTAGAAAGCAATTTCTGAACAGCTTTTCTTTTTTTTGTTTCTTATTGCATCAAATGTTCATGAATTTGTCATAAGCCAGAAATAAAAGCCGAAAAAAATCTACTTCTTCTTGTAAGATGGTTTTCGTAAAATATAAATAAGCTCAACTAACACAACCACAAGAATTGAAAAAGTATTTGCTATTTGTCAATATATTAACCGACTCGGCTAGAATCTCGGAGAATAAGCTTACATCAACAGAGAGGGGTGATTTAATAATATAGAGCTTTTTAGGCCTTGTATTGAATGTACTTAACACATCCCAAATGATAATTATAATTTAATGAGATTTACGAATTATTGTTGCCTGATATGTTTCAGATGGGCTTTATTTTCTTCTTTTCTATATTGACTTTACAGTAAGGGAACATTCATAATTTAGTAATCACATGATGATCATAAAATCATTGACGTGAAAAAAAATATATAATTTTATAAATTTTATAAAAATTAACGATATTGTAAAATATTCGAAACACCATTTCAAAAATAACCAAAGTTTAACAATGAAGGAACTTTGTCACGAGATTCATGCGTAGCTAAGATTATCCTTTTTAAAATTCTTAACGGAACGGATCCTAAAATTTATTGCATATCCTTCAAGATAAAATATAGCGTCATTTATTCATTCCCTTATCTAAAATTTATATTATTTAAGTTTGTTTTATTTTTGATTTTCATTTTTTTTGATTTCCAAAAAAAAAAAATTTATTTTCAAGAATGAATCGAGGCTCTAGCAGCAGTATCAACATTTTTAAAATATTATCGAAATGAAAAAGTGAGCAAATATGCCAACTTAGATATGTACATCTATTTCATTTAGTTGTCATTTCAATTATGTTCTAGTAGATAAATTTAACATATTTAATATATATAACATATTAATAAAGTGATTTTATTTATTAGTTGAACAAAGTATTAATAAAAGAAATCATTTCATTAAATTCATTTTCTTCGTATTATTTTTTAATTCGAATGATCGACAGGGAATGCGAATGTTCCTTATTTGTAATAACCTGTATTCTTATATTGTGTATTTGGATCATTACCATCGTTATACATTATTTATAATTTTGGTAAAAAAATTTATTTAATCATGTTGATCATATGATTTCTGAAAATAGCAAAAAGCCGTTGCCGTGTGGGAAAAAAAAATAAATGACATGATTTTGATTTTCAGCCATGATGTAATCATTTTGCGCCCTTGCTCAAAAAAGTCATTTTGGCATATTTCTCATCGAAAACATTTTTAACATAAAATATGGTAGATTTTCACTTCTTTTAAGCAACTTTAATAAATTTTTTTGATTAAAAAAAGAACAAGAAAAGAGAAATTTCTTCAAATGTTTTCGTGTCAATTTTGTCAATCCTTGGAACCTTTTTTGATTCCTAATTACCTTTCGCTGGTAGGGATCATATTAACAGGCTACGTTGCGCATTACTATTTCAAGTATTTTACTCGCGTTAATCCTTTACCTGGTCCACTCCCATTCCCATTCTTTGGAAACGTACCTCAATTTGCACTTTATTGTGGTGGAGATTTAAAAGAATTTTTCGAATTTAATCAAAAGAAATATGGTGACATATACGAAGTTTATATGGGAGGTCGACGTATAATTCTCAGTCGAACAGAATATGTTGAAAAACTTTTGTCGCCATCAATAAAGAACCAATATATGGTGAGATTTCCTTACACCCAAGGATTGGATGAATTAGGAATTATGGGAAGAGGTTTACTGGCCAATCATAATTTAAGATCATGGAGTTACAACCGTCACTTCTTTACTCAAGCTATTTTGGCTCCGAAATTTACTAAAAAAGCTATTGATTGGACGAATGAACTTTTCAATGAATTGGAAATCTATTGGAACAAGTTATACCTAAAAGACGTTCAAAATAAATTGAATTGTTCCGCATGGTTACATCGATATGCAAATGATATGATCATCGCGTTGACAACTGGTGAAAGATCTTATACGATGGCATCATATTTTAATATTCAAAGTGATGAAAAATCCGAACATCCGCAAGCGTTGGTCGATGACTCGGAGAATTTCGTTCAAGCTTTTCGTAAACAAATTTTAGGAGGTCCTTTATTCATATTTATTCCTCCTTTCTTCAGGCATTACGTTCCATTTTTTAAGAGTAGGTCGGACGCTTTACTTAGAAACATTGAATTTATCTATCAAAGATTAGAGTCGATCATTAAAAGACGCAGACAAGAAATTGAAATCTCATCACTGGATAAACCTTTATCACAAGATATGCTGACCTCGTTGATCACTGCGAATACGTCTCGTGACATTAATCATGTTGAAACTGTCGAGGGTGAAGTCATGAACTTGCCTATGACTGACCTTGAAATTCGTAGTATTTTGTTTGAAACATTTCTTGGTGGAACCGAAAAGGTAAGGAAGGAATGTTTTTATGATGATTCAAATTTTTTTAAAAAAATTTTTGATTGACGTGATCGTGTTCATTTTATTTACTTTCAAATATAGATATCGAATTTGCTTACATTCATCATCTATTATATCGCACGTAATCCGGACGTGAAAAAGAAGATGTTGGAAGAAATTGACAATGTATTCCAAGGTGATAAATCGCGTTCAATCACCGAAGACGATTACGAAAAATTAAAGTATTGTGAAGCTATTATAAAAGAAGTTGATCGCGTTCTTCCAGTCTTAAATACAGTAGCAAGATGTAGTCAAGAACCTAATGAATTAGCGGGTTATAAGTGGCCAGCCGGTACAATTTTTCATGTGAATACCGTTTCAATTCATAAACATAAAGATTATTGGGAAGAACCTGAAAGATTTAATCCTGATAGATGGATGGTTAAAGATTTCGAACCAAAGAAATTTTCTTTTGTTATGTTTGGTGGAGGTTTAAGGATTTGTCCGGGAAGAAAGTTGGCAATGATTGAGATAATTTGTTTGATGGCCTTATTGTATCGAAAGTATGATATCGATTTGGTTGATAAGGATTCTCCTTTAAAAACCGTGTCCTCCGCTTTAATAACTTGTCCCGAATTGTTAGTTAAAGTTAGATCAAGAAATTAAAAAAAAAATTCTTATTGATAATATCATTTTCAATTTATGTAAATTTTTTTTCTTTTTAAAAATTTATTACTAAATAAATATTGTACAGATATTATATTATTTTTTCAATTGCACTGTTGTGTAACCTGATTAATGTGTTTGAAAATTTTCTAGTTGTCGACTTCATCGAAATGACTTTCACAATAATTTAAGAAAAATTATTATGAGAGGATCAGCATCGTTGATGTTACACACGAATACTAAAACCCTGTTTTTGGGGTTTTTTTATTATTAACATATATATTTTTTGTCCACAAATGAATCCTAATTTTAATAAAGTTTTTTAGTCAAATTTCATTGTAATTAAAATAAATCAAACGCTCCTTATATCGAAAATTATAATAAATCCTTTAGAATTTACTACTGCGAAAGTATATATTAATTTTAATAACTAAATACTAATCATTTTATGATAATACATTTATCAATCATTCATTCGAAAGTTTGTGCATCTATAAACCATATCAATCCATCTATCAGTATAATACCTCTAAATCTAGAGGATACTTACTAATTATTATTCTTCATTATGCTGTGATTGAGTATTAATTGGTATAATATAATATTGATTGAGACGAGTTAACAAATGATAATACAAAGAAAATGAAATATGGGTGGTTATTAAATTCATGTTACGGAACTTGATTTTAATAACAAACGACCCATACGTTCGAATCTAACGATATGACCAGTGATGTAAAATGTAGCTAAGTAGAAATTTTGGCACAACTTTATTTTTTTTTTTTTAAAAAAAAAAAAAATTTCTTCCGTGCAAGTCTGCGCTTCTTAGATACAGTATATTAATTTTATAAGATTACATAATCAATGAATTAACGTATTAAAAAAATTTTTTATTTTTATTTTTTATTTTTTTTGAAACATTCATCACAATGATCGATGATCTTATTATAAATCTCGCACCCTTTGTCGCTTTATGCAGTATTTGGCATACCAAGGATAATTTACATTTACATGAGTTATTTTTTGGAGTTGGATGGAGTTAAGGTACACAGATTTATATGAAATGAATTATCGCGGATGTTTGTAATGATATTTATTTTTTTCACCGCATTAATACACCACACCTAAGAAATATTACCTCTAATATTGTACTTGAGATTCATTGTATCAACTGATTTAGATTTATTGTCCAAAGCGTAATGGAGGACAAGTCAAATTAATTGCATGATCATGCAATGTCTGTATGTCCCCACAAATGAAAATGTCATTTCGATAACACACTTGGATTTGTATATGAATTTAATTATCAAAAGACAAAATGATCGACGTAATACGCGAATTGAGGATTGTTTAAATAACTTTTTTTTTTTTAAATAACCGTACTTAAAATTTCTTTAGTTAATATGACTTGCAAGAAATTTAAGTTGCTTTTCTTCATATTAAGTTATTTGTTACTTAGAGTCGAGTCATTCACTCTTTAAGGACGTAATTCTCATTCCTCTGTCCTTGTTGAAAATAAACATTATTTTTTTGGCGGGGTTTCTAGTACCAATGAAGTTTTTTATCTTGATTTATCGCAACAATTTAATGTAGAGAATCCGCTATGGACCGACTTAACGTTAAATTCAGGATTAGGATTTAAAAGTAGTTTTGCAGCTACCGCACTAACTAATAATGATTACCCGACTATTTACCTGATTGGAGGAAAAATGCAAAATCAAAATAATCAAGATTCATTTACTTCTCTGGTATATGCTTTTAATTTAAAATCAGGACAATGGAATATACCTGTAATGAAAGGAAATGTACCAGAAAGACGTAGAGACTTTCAAGTTGTTGCTGATGATTTTGGAAATATTTATGTTTTTGGTGGAGGTGCCGATGCAGCGATAGGATCAGAAAATGATCAATTTTTTAATGACATGGCAATATTAAATACTAATGATTGATTTAACATGGTCCTATGGCCCTATTGTCAATGCACCTTCACCGCGAATTGGTTATACTGCGACATTATTATCAAATGACGTTATTGTATATATCGGAGGTTATGCGAGTGATGGTAGCATAATTGATATTAATCAAATTCACCTTTATGATATCAAGTTATCTTCTTGGTTAGTAGTGGTACGTATTTTTATTTTATGAAGACCTTTGTGAAATTCAAATTATAAATTTATTTAATTTATTAAGCAAGCCAAAGGTAACGATCAAATCGATTCTCGTTTTTTACACTCGGCTGTACTAGGTATAATATAATTTTACAAAAAAATTTATTTGTTTTAAAATAATACAATTAATATATACTGTTATATTATCATTAGTGTCGGATGGTAGAATCATAATTTATGGAGGAGAAAAAAATGTTAATAGAACCGAAGTTGCTAAAGCTATTCCAGATTTGGCAGTTTTAAATACTTCAAAAACTCCATTCGAATGGACAGACCCTCAAGTATCATCAAATATTGCTGAAGTTCCATCGCTTACACTTCATATGGCAAATCGATTTGGAAATTACATGATTGTTGCTTTTGGTAATGATTTATTTAAATTTTTTGTATTTAAATTTAAATTTAAAGCCCTTATATTAACAATATTGAATGATAGGAAATATGACTCAACCAAACTCAGGAAGAAATTCAAGAATTTATATGTTTGATATTAGAAGCTATACTTGGGTTAATAAATTTGAACCTGAGCCTACACCTATAAATGAAACGATATCGCTATCAAATTCTCCTTCAATAACTACTGATTCTGCAACAACTGCAAATACTTCAATAAATAAATCAAGTAAAGTTATAATAGGTACTATAAGTGGAATTGTCGGTGTCACAATTCTTTTAGTAATTGGAATTATAAGGTATAAATGGTATCAAAAAAGAAAACATGGTGATAAAATTATGAGGATTTCAGGCAATTTTTAAATTATTAATTGTAGTTTACCTTAAAAAAAAAAAATTTTTAATTCGATCTACAATAATTTGGATAATTTCGAGTTATGACTAATATAAAATTAAATAAAACTAAATAAAACAAATATATAAATAATTAGCTGCTTCGTCTTATTAAGATTGAACACGCGAACATAAATAAACTTCAAATTTAAATCTAACGATTTTTAAATAATGGTTGTTTCAAACATATTTTTCTTAACATACTCTTAATATTAAAAGATTTCGGAAGACAAAATCAAATAAATATTATCGTTACGTTATCATACGTAAATTCACTTATTGACTTTCAATGAAATCATAATTTTGTGTCGATTCGGAATCTAAAAACGTACATAAAAAAAATTATCATCGTTATTGAAACATCAATATCACAAGAAATGAATATTTAATTGATATTATGACCTCATATTAAACTACCGAGCAGACACGAGGAGTCGAATTCTTTTGTGGTATTTGTTCTTTAGAAATGAAGAATTTACTCCTTAAAAGCGTTATATGCATTCCCCTTTAATTTTTGAAACATGCTTTATTTTTTTTGCGGTGGATATTATAATTATAATTGTACAAATGAAGTTTTTTTAACTTGACTTATCTCAACAATTTTAATGTAGAAATCCGCTATTGACCGACCTTACATTAAATTCAGGATTAGGATTTAAGCCACTGCACGAACTAATAAATAATGATCCGACTTGTGCATCGATCTGGTCGACACGAATATTCGAGTCATGAGACTTGACCCGATGATAGATGATCTGATTATAAAGTATAGTATTTTCTTTACATCAAGTCTTTGATATCTAACCTTGTTTGTAAACTTTATGTTCTGAAGTTAAGTGATTTAACCGTTCGTAAGTATTTTTAAAAAGTGTTGAATTTTATATGTTATTACTTTTATATCTTTTTACTAAAAAATTTAGTCGTAAAAAAATTAATAATGTTGGTTTAATGTTTATAAATAAACTTTAAATACTATAACTCAAGATTCTATTATACTTTCAATTATGATCTGCCTGTAAATAATGAAAATAAAAATTAATCACTTTGGCATCAAACTTTGAGTCGAATGCGATTTTAACTAAAATTTGGTCGAGTTCTGTAAATGTTGACGGGTTCGAATTCGAATATGCTTCAAATTTGAACTTTACTCGACCTTTACGGAACAATATATCCAACTGTTTACATAATTAGAGGAGTAATGGAAATCAAAATAATAAATATTCATTCACTTATCTTGCCTGACGGATTAATTCTAATAATGAACCAGAAATGTATTGTATTTGATGTACAGATTATAATAAGAATTCTAAAGCGCATTTATTGTTAGAACGAAAAATTCAAAAAAGATTATTTAGATAATCATTTATCTACTAAAAAACATCAAAAAGCAGCACTTGGATATACTGCTCAGCCAACAGATCAAACGGATCTTATAATTGGATTTATAATTTAGGCAAATATTGATAAGTTAGATATTATTGCAAATATGCGATGTATTTATCTGTGTACTAAATGTATCTTGCAATTGACGCATTTTCTAATTTAGTTGAATTAATAGATATTTTAAAAAAAATGACTGATTAGTATTTGATCAACCTCCAATTACTATATTTTGGTCTAAAAAAGAATTGATTATATCAAATAATCTAAGTAATCAAACAAATTATAGTATATATAAAAATCCGATGGCAGGTACTGAATTTTTATATGCTATAGCAATGGTAATTGAAGAATCAATTTTAAATGAAGTTCGCAAATTACCATCTCGGAGTTTATTAATGAATGAAAGTAATACTATTATACATGATAAATATGTGCAGTTGTTAGCAAACACATGGCAGAAAATATTCCTATACTTCGTTATTTGGGATTAATTGAACTACAGAAAACAAACGCAAGTGCAATTATGAGGAGTCTGGAAAATTTTTTTGTTACTAAAATGCTAAAAACTGATGATTAATTCATTTTAGTAGCTATAGTGCTAGAATAATTTTAAATATGTATAATTGTAAATATGATTTTAATCAATAATATGTGCTAATTTATTTAATTTAACTCATATTATAAAAATAATGGAGTATCGGTAAATCTTCAACAAACAAATCTCTTTATAACTTACTGTCATAGGTTAAATTTAGCTTGAAAGGATATAGCTAAAGACGTCTCATATTTTGAAGATTATAAAATAACATTAAAGAAATATATGCTTATTTTGGTTTATCACATCAACGTTGGAAACATTTAAAATATTTTAAACTTTAGATAAAAAAGATCCACAATTATCAGTTTTACGCATTGTTAAAACTTAATAGCTTCCACTTTCTAATGCTATTTCAAATTTACACCAAATTATCTTTTCAATAATTGATGCGCTTGATAATGATGCAATCAATAATACATGCAAAAAATATGATAACAGGCTCAAAGGTTACGTGAAGATATTGATTCAGAATTTATATTAGCAATAAAATTTCTTGCAGATATTTTATATACCTTTAGCAATTTAATAAACATATACAATTAAATCAGCAATTGATTCAATTACAACTGAATATATTGGCAACGGTAATGATCCTGATGATATAGATTATGTCTTACTAACTTATAAAAATCATTTGCGAACATATATTTCTGATCTTATTGAACCTGACATATTATCAGCAATATTTAAAGAATTTGCCATTGCATTAGTAAACAATCTTTGCCTAGATTTCCAGATACTGAAATTTATAATACTATAAAAATTTTTATTTTTTTAAAGTTCTCACAAAGTCAAATGAAATGGCTATATATGGTGAAAATGAAATCAAAATATTAGGCGATTTTTATGAAAATTTCAAATATTAGAATGAGCAAGTTTTTTCTGCGAGAATTAATAAGAATAGGATTATTCAGGAATACGAGAAGTAAAGTTACTTTTAAAAAATTATCAACAGTTTAGTTTTATAAATAGATGGAGCTAAATTTTTACTAATTCTCAATTTTTAACTATTTATCTAAATTTAAGTAAAGTGGTTAACTATTCATTAATTGTACCACCTTCAAATAGTTAATGTTAAAAGAATTTTTTCTTAAAAAAACTTTATTAAAACAAAAATATACAATCAAATGAAACTTAAAACTTTAAGCTCAAGCCCATTCATAACAATCATAAGATGAGAATTTAAAGAATTTGATTTTGAAAAGGCATTTGATGTTTGACAAAGACTTCCAAGAAGCATTTGGTAAATAATTTGTAAATTTTTTGTTTAAATTTAATAAAATTTATAAATATAATAAATATATAAATGTAACTTTTTTTATTTTTTTTGATTTTATATTTTTATTATATCGCAAGAAATTTATAATTAGCACAACTTTACAATTAAATTTGGATGCATAATATGCAACTATTATTAATAGCCTGCATATAATTCACTTTTTTAGTTACGCATCTGCAATTAAAAAATTTTGAATTTTAAACACTGGCATAGATGAAGATTTTTATCTTGATTTATCTCAATAATTTAATGTAGATATATTAGTTTATTGATGTTTAGCATTAAAGGTTTAAAGCAGCATTTATTTTGATTGGCTAACTAGTTTTGGGAGGTTTCGCTAGTATTGTCCAGTTTCGCCAAATATCGTCCAGTTTCGCCAGTTTCGTCTTAGTTTCGGATTATCGGAAAGTTTCGGATTTTCGTTCTTGAAAGCTGAAACGTTTCGTCCTTAAAATTTTGGTTTCACCCACAACTTTAAATGGTATCCATTTGTATATTTTTATTATATTTAGTCATTTTAAATGTTCGATACAAACTTTTTTTGAACCTATGTTAAATTCTATAGTAATGACGCCAAGCTAAAAATTTTTTCACGATTATCTTAATTTACCCCTAAGCTTATAATAAAATTTTGACACAAATAATACTTTTGGTAATAAATCGCTATTTAATCCCTTAGTAGCCAAACGGTTAATCTCATTTAACAACACTCTTTCCTCAGGTGATTATCACCAATAATGGATTGTTTATCTATAATTTTCAAGATCACATAGTCAAAGTTGATATTTTGCTTTTTATCATCCGAAATTTTAATGATTAAGGCTTATGAAACACCATTGCTGATGTCAATTTTTGTAATATTAATTTTTACAGCAATGGTTTGACATAAAATTTATTAAATATCTATAACTAGCAAATTTTTTTAAAAAAGAAGTTAAAAATAAATAAATAAAATTACATGATTTTCTAAAGTCTGCATAACCTGCATAACCTTTGAGGGATTCAACACTTTTTGTGATGTACAGTACTACTTATTTTCGATTATTCACCGCTGCACTTTACAAATGCAACAATACAAGCGTCATCAGGTTTGCTTAAATTTTTAGTTTATTCGGCAGGAAATTGAGAAACTTCTGACCGTTAGCAAGGTTATAAATTTTGCACGTCCAATAAATAAAATTAAGTCTGAATCAGAGTTATAGTACATGTGCAAAATTTATTTGTTCGATAATTAAATACTTTAAGCTATATAATAAAAATTAAAATTTATGTTTCATTTTATTTTAAACATTTCAATTTAATAAATTAAATGTAAGATTCTTACCATGCTATTATCATAATTATATATCCCAAGCCCTTTCGATTTGTTTACGGCAATGACACAGCATTTACTAGTGCTCCGAAACAATCGAGTCGACCCGGGTTTTTTGACCTGACTCGAACATTTCTCGAGTCAGGACTATCATTTTATGACACGAGTCCTAATTCAAAAAAACCCGCCGGGTCAGGGTCACGTTTTTGCTTGACCCGAGTGACCCGGATGATCAGGTGATCATAAGTCACAGGACATGCAGAAAATTTGTTGCCAGGTAATTTCAACCCGGCAACTCAGATTGCTAGAAAAATAATTGATGGCCAATCAATACCATAATTTTGCAGTGATCCGTAAATTTTGCATTTTTGTTTAATCGTTTAAAACTCAAATGTGTT